CTTTCAACCCAAACCAGTCTATGATTCTATGGTGTCAGCTTGATGGCTCAGTTGGAAGCTCCAGCAATGTCCACACTTGTGCTGTCTTGGGTGTCTTGTCCCTTCTGGGACAGAAGGGCTTGTGTGAATGTTACCTGTGCTTAATGAGCAGCGTTGCTGACTGTACCCTGAGCTGCATCAAAAGAAGTGTGGCCAGCAGGTCAAGGGAGGTGATTCTGCCCCTCTACTCTGCTCTCATGAGACCCCACCTGGAATACTGTGTTCAGCTCTGGAGTCCCCAACAGAAGGACATGGAGCTGCTGGAGCAGGTCCAGAGGAGGCCACGAAGATGATCTGAGGGCTGGAGCACCTCTGCTATGGAGACTGGCTGAGAGAGTTGGGGCTGTTCAGCCTGGAGAAGAGAAGGCTCTGGGATGATCTTATTGCAGCTTTCCAGTACTTAAAGAGGGCTACAAGAAAACTGGAGAGGGACTCTTTCCAAGGGTGTGTAGTGACAGGACAAGGGGCAATGGCTTTAAACTGGAAGAGGGGAGATTTCGATGAGATCTAAGGAAGAAATTCTTCCCTCTGAGGGTGGTGAGGCACTGGAACAGGTTGCCCAGAGAAGCTGTGGCTGCCCCATCCCTGGAAGTGTTCAAGGCCAGGTTGGATGAGGCTTTGAGCAACCTGGCGTAGTGGAGGGTGTCCCTGCCCGTGGCAGGGCGGTTGGAACTAGATGGTCTTTGAGGTCCCTTCCAACCTAACCTGTTCTGTGGTTCTGTGATTTGTTCTGTGTTGGGGACTGTTTGCCTCAGTTGCCTCTTAGATCACCTCCTGTTTGTTTTAGTATGGCTCTTCTGTCACCTGTTCCTTAGGCTTATGCTCCAAAAAGATGTTACTAAGGTGCTTTTCGCTGCAGTTTTCATACAAAGTTTTTTGATATATTTCTTCTGCCTTCTGGTATTCTCGTCTGCTCAGACAGCAAACTGAATCCAGGACAGTGTGGTGTTTGCTGCCTGCTCTGAGTCTCAGCGCCGTAGAGTTCTGATCCTGATAAATTGCTAAGTGTTGGTGTATTAAATATAATAAATAGTAAGAGCCTTGTGGTGCTGAGGAAGGTCTCTAACAAATGTCAATGTAATTGTTCTGCCCCAAAGCAAGAGCAGCCTGTAAATGTTCAGGAGATGATTGTCTAGCTTACTCTCAGCAACCAAATCTCTGCTGGTAATCCATCCTAGCACTTTTGGGTTTTGTTCTACAAGGATTTTTGTGGTCTTTGACCAAAATCTTCCATGCTACAACTTAAGCATGTTACGTCCTGTCATATTCACCATTGCTGCAAGGAAAGGATTGTTTCTGTCATCCTCTCTGCAGCAACCATTTCTGTTTTTGAAGGCTCTTATCACCTGTCCCCTCCAGGCATCTCCTCTTTATCCCAGACAGCCCTGATTTCAATTCACCCAGGCTTTTCATTTCAGTCATTAGGGTTCTGATCACTTTTATTGTTCTCCTCTGGACTCTGTTCATCTGTCCTCTGTGTTTTCTCAGGTGCATGGGCAGCTGACATCATGCTTCAGTTTAGGCTGGGGTGAAATCTGAGTAAAAAGGAAGTAAAAATGTAGGCAGCTAGAGCACAGTGGATTTGGTAGAAATGAGGCTGAGCTGAGTGTTCTGGAGCCAAACATAACCTTCATCATGTCAGTATTGCCCTGGTGACTGTGGATCAGCTTGCCAGAGTTGTGTTGGTAACTACTGCCTGATGTGAGGCTGATTCTGACAGAGACCAAACATCTGTGGCTTTTGTAATTAGTGTATCCAGCTGAGAGATCTGCAGGAAGAATGGTGAGCTTCTCTTTCATCTGAAGGTGCTTCTACACACTGGCCTGGATTTTACCTCCTTTAAATGTGGATGTGCCTTTTTGCCTTCCAGGGGCTGCTTTAACCTGTTGTAGTGAGAAACATTCCTGTTTTTCTCCCTGATGATCCACTGAAGTCCACTTAGGTCTCCTTGTATTTTGAATGTGAGATGTTCAGGTCTTTCATTTGTCTTCAGCCCCCTGTATTCTTGCCTGAGGCCTTGGGGTTGCCAGTGTAATACAAATTGCTGCTGTTAGGTAAAACAGGTGACCCAGCTTTTGCAGATATCTTAAAGGAATCATTTTTTTACCAGCACACAGTGGTTAGGTAGAAGGGATGGTGCTTTTGTAGTCTTAAACTGAAGAAGGAGGTGGCAGGGCAGGAAAGCAAGGTGTGGGAGAAAGGATCCAGGTGGGGAGTGAAGAGGTAGGAATTAAAGGAGTTTTGCTTATGTTATAGGAAAAGGGGCTGATGCTTGCAAGAGAGCCTACCCTTCTTTAGAAAATACAAGTACAGCTTTGGAATGTTACAGCTGAGGCAATCTAAAGAGCAACTGCTGGTGAAAAGTGTGTTCCTGCTCATTTATTCTTCACCAATGCCGTGTCTGGTATTTGCATGACCCCAGAATGAATAAATCTGAGGAGTTAAACTGGCAAGAAATTATGAGGAAAAAGAAGGAATACTTTATGTTGGCTTAGCTGCCCAACAGAATATGTGGTGGGACCAGGCAAACCCCAGGAGTGCTGTGCAGGGAACGATGAGACTACAGGGAGGGGAAGTGCTTCCCATTGGATTGGGCTTGGATGTAGCCTGGAACTGCAATTGGAGACCTCAGATGATAGATGCAGCTGTACTGAACAGCTTTTTATGAAGTGCTGAACAAGAACACCCTCCTGTGAGTGGTTAAAATGATTAATATGCAATTGCTCCCTGAGGCTAGGGATGGGAAATAAACCTTTCAGACAGTCGTGGAACTGTACTGGCTTTGTAATTAAGTTACTGTCTGCAGGATGGTGGGCATGCTCAGATAATGAATGGGCAGGTGCAGTGCTGCTTGAGGTGCTTCAGCAATTTTCAAGATTCAGAGAGACAGGACTGGGCTGCTTCTGAAGTGCTGAGGCAATAAATGGCAGAAACAAGCTACTTCCATCGTGCTGACACAGTGGAGCGTGCGCCCTATCCAGGTGGTACTAACCACTTCTGAGAGCGGTGGACAGTTGTCATTTTTAATGACTGTGTCTTAATTTAAGCAGGGCCATCCTGTAGTGTAAGAAAGATAAGGAAAAAGACACATGAATTAATTCTTAACTCTCTCTGAATGATAAAACATGCAGACCAAGAATTGCATCCTTTGGGATCTTTTTGTGTAACACTTAGCATGCCATCAGCACTTGAATAGGTGTTTAGTCTTCTCTTGACCAGGGTATGCAAAGCTGCCTTAGACATGGTTTGATTAGAAGGGGAGGAAATAAAGCCAGTGCTTCTGAAGGCTTAAAATGAGACTCAAAAGATTTTTTGAGCATTATTGGCTTTTATTTTTCCAGTGTGTTTGAATCCCGGCGTCTCCTGCAGCAAGAAAGAACTGCTGGCAAAAACTCGCAAGCCTTGTTGCTTCAGGCTAAGGAGGCAATCAAAGCAGAGGTAGGAATTTGAAGCTGCACCTCTGAGAACCTCGCCTTTCAAGCCTGTGGCACCTGGGAGCTGTAGTGCCAACGGGTGATGCCGTGTTCTGTAGAAAATGAAGATCAGCAGCTCAAAGTTCTGCTTTGATTTGGTTGCCCAGGGCACAATGTCGGAGCTGAGTGATGAAGCCAGTGAGTCGGAGCTGCTGAGCCGCAGTCTTTCCATGTGGCATGGGGTCGGTCAGATGATCTGTCGGGAAGAGCTGGACGTTCCCCTGGACTTACATACAGCCTCCTCCGTCGGCCAGTATGAAGTGGTGCAGGAGTGCATTCAGCGGTAAGGAGGGGCTGGGGAGGGCATGGGTCTGTGGTTACTTGCTGCCAGTTATGGTTTTTCACTGACTGCTGTACCAGTTGGTCTAACATTGCAGCAAGGGCACCTCACTGGAACTCCCAAAGGGTTCTGGGGTACAAGGTTTCAAGGCATGAGTCTGCTGATAATTATCCCCTTAGAGATTTGGTGGGAGTTGTGCTAGAGCTGATAGGAATTCCCATGCAGGCTTCAGTGCTAGAATTTTTTCCAGCTTTCAATACAGTGATGGTAGCAAGAGGCTGCAGGAGCCTACTGTGAACTACAGCTCCAGGACAGTAGCTCAGCTGAATTCTTTCTCTGTTATTTAGTGGAGATCTGGATTTAAACAAGAGGAATTGTGGTGGCTGGACTCCACTGATGTATGCCTCCTACATTGGCCACGACACCATTGTGCACCTGCTGCTGGAAGCGGGAGTGAACGTGAACATCCCAACACCAGAAGGGCAGACGCCGCTCATGCTGGCCTCCAGCTGTGGAAACGAAAGCGTTGCTTACTTTCTTCTGCAGGTGTGTATTCTGTAATAAATAAAGCCCCAGGACATGGTTTAGACACACAGGGTAGGATTCTCCACCAATTTCAAGCCAAGTGTGTGATGTGTGTTCCGAGTTCAGCTCCTTGACAGGGATTTAAACTCTCTTGGTATCACAGCACCAGGGGCAGTGGCCAAGGGACCCAGCAGAGGGGATGCAGTAAAGAACATTCTCTGTTCTCTTGAAGCAAGGCGCAGAGCTGGAGATGAAGGATATTCATGGCTGGACTGCCTTATTTCACTGCACCAGCGCTGGACACCAGCAGATGGTCAAGTTCTTACTGGACAACGGGGCAAACGCCAACTGCAAGTAAGGAGGAATCTGTCATTTCGTTTCTTGAAAGATATCTCGTGGTTTAGATACAAAAGCAGCAGCTGACATACGAACTCACTCAAACACAAATATACCTGCTTTTGTTTTTCCTCTTGTACCTTAGGAAGTATGGCACATGCTGTTAGCTAAAAATAGGTGACCTGCAAACTGAACAGTGAAGTCTGCCCGTGTTGTCACTGTTTATTTAACTAAGATCAAGAGAAATTGGATTTACTGCTTGTTTAGTTATGGGTTTGAACTCTGAAAGCAAGCAGATGCAGTGCCTTCTGAACTCAAGTGCACTTTGTAAGTCTTACTGTTGAATTTTCTGTGTACTTGGAGTTCAGTTTGGTTTTTTGAAGTGTGCAGTGCATTCCTGTGCCTTGGACTGCCTGTACATTTGTGCATATTGAATTGTCTGAGGTCAACAAGAGGTTCTTGCTTTGTTAGCTGCTGCAAAGCTGATTTTCCTACTGAAAGGCTGATCTGCAGCTGGAAGAGAAATCTGTTGCTGTGCAGCCAACAGAGTAACGCTTAACTGCATCTCCACGGGGAGTTTTACTGAGATAGACCAGAGTGTGGTCGAACAGCCAATACGTGGTGCAGTTTGTGATCAGCTGAGGGTAGAGGCTGGAGGTGCCCCATTAGGATAGGGCAAAGGCTGCTGCATATTTCAGCTTTGATTGTTCTAGTCCATGTGTGTGTTCTCTCTTTAGGGAGCCTGTGTATGGATATACGCCTCTGATGGAAGCAGCTGCCTCTGGCCATGAGATAATTGTTCAGTACCTTCTCAATCATGTAAGTGTCTGGACAGTTCTCTGTAAAGCTGAAAATCTGTGGTTCCAGCCCTTAGAAGAAGTACCACAAGTTTGATGCCAGACTTTAGAGTTATGTTTGGATCCTTGATGACAGTCATCTCTGAAGTCTCGGGCTTCCAGGACTGTTCTCAAGGTATCTGCTTTCTGAAGGCTGGTACTCTGATCTGTGCTGGCCTTACACAAATAGGAGTGAGGTCTAACTGTCTGTATTTAACTGGATAATGCCTGAATTAGAAAATGGATAATGCCATAATCTCCATATTGTTTACAGGCTTGCATGCTTGGGCTGGTGGGCATCTTCTACCTCCAAAAGCTTATAAGCATTCATGTCTTGATGTTAAACAAATTGTTTTTAATATCCCATTCAACTGGCCCAGCTTTATTCCAGAAGGAGGCAGCAATGCAAAATGTTTTTTAGATAAAACAAACTAGTTCCCCATGGCAATGCCCAAGAGCCATATACCTGGGCTACTTGGCATTCAGGGAGTGGAGAGACTGGATAACTAGAAAGGCAACAAGGTAGTAGTGGAGCTTGAACTGTTTATCAGAGGTGAGCCTGTGTTTCTGATGATCTTGGAGGAGCTAAGACAATTCTTTGGCTCCCTTGATTATTTTTTGCGTTTGGTGCCCTCTGCTGTGTACGTGTTAAACTTCTTTTTCTGTAGGGTGTGAAGGCAGATGTCAGAGATAACACTGGAGCCACAGCACGAACACTGGCCATGAAATACGGACATACAAAGATTGTGGGTTTGATAGATTTGCATGCAGCTCCAGTGCCCAAGGTATTCTGCAGGGGTCCAGGTAAGAGGTGTTTTAGCTTGTTCATTTTAAGATAGAGCCTGAGGCTTTGAAAGTATGTAACCATGTGCATGCAGGTAGTACTATCTTGTCTGTCCTGGAAACTTCAGCCTTTCTGAGGGTGGAAAAAACACAGATCCAACATTTCTTTCTGTGCTGGCCCTCTTCTGACTTAAACTGATTTACCCACCCTCTTTTAATGTTTCCTTTCTCCCCACTGCATTTATAGGATGAGTAGCAAATAAAGCAGATAAACATTTTACTATGCTGCTAATAATCTTTATTTGAACTACAGGAAAATATGAAGAGCTGAGTTCCTCAGATGAATCATGTTCTGCTCCCCAGAGACAGAGACCTGTTCGTAGGACCAAGGGTCCCAGCATTCATGATGGGCCTCAGGCTTTGGCTAAGATAACAGCAGTTGGAATCGGGGGAAAGAAGCAGTCTCGCTATGGTGAGAATAGTTAGAAGCCTAATTGGGAGTCCTCTGGAGTCTCTTCTCAAATGCTTTGCAGCTATTTCTGTGCTCAGCTTTTTTCTTTTCATGTGGGATGCATGTGTGGCTTGTACAGAAACAAATGTAGTGAACACCATCCTACAAAGCTATCCAGTCTCTGGTTTAAAAAGAAAACTCCTTGAACTCTCTTGTCAGGGCTGGATATCAACCAGTGGAATGTTTCTGTGGAACAAACACTGCTCTTAGTTCAGTTACTATTCCCCTGACTCTTGAGAACAGTCCAGGTTCCCTTTTTGAGGTAGACTTAAAAGTTTGAGAACCCTTCTTAAGCCGATGACAGAGGAAGTGGTCACAGAGGCCAACAAATCATTGATCATGAAAGCAAACTCGCTGCTTCTTAACCTGTCAGTTTTGTCTTTCCTGATGCTTGAAATACTACTAAAAAAGAGATTATAAAACCCTTGCAATAGGTCAAGAGAAAGATCATGCCAGTTCAGGCATCAGCCCCTGGATGCAGTGGTATGAGTTTTGTTTTCCTGTGCGTGTGTATAGCTGTAGGTATTCAAGCTGATGACCTAGTGGTCTAGAATAACCAAGAATATGGACTTTAAAGCATCTTCAAAGTTCATTTGTTCTCCTAACACAGATGTGTGCTATCCCACAGGCAATGGCTGTGTTGAAATGATACTGCTGCCTTCTGAAGCAACACTGGGATGCTACTGGTGTGTTAATGCAGTTGCAGAGGGGTTGGTTTTACAGGGTGTGCCTGGCTGGGGATGGGACATAGCTGGCACCTTGCTCTCTTAAGCAGATGTTTTTCCTCTGTGATAATTTGCTTATGAACAGGAGAGGAAATGCTGGAAGCTGCTATTTAAGGTGCTTCTCTGTGATGAGGCTGTTTCCTCTGACTCTTTTCAATGCAACCATCTAAACCAAGTACAGCTGTGTGTGTGTGTGTGTGTTTGAGGGTGGCTCTAGGCATGTGCATTTCTCAGTTTTTCTGTGTGCTTTTTAAAATGAAACCTGCTAGTTGAGAAGACAGTCTCTTCTTTTGATTCTTTTCACATCCCTGAGTGGTTGCTTTTCCTGCTGGAGCCTCCCTGGTAACTTGCATCCCAATCTTTATTGGTTCTCCCTCTTGCACACAGAGCAGGTCCCTCCTCAGGGTTACGTTACCTTCAATGATGATGGCAGCTGTGAAGCAGACGATATCCGAAACCGGGATGTTACCTCTCCAATCAATGAGCAGGATGTGGAGAGCAGCAGCAGCAGGGGTAAGTCACTATCTTGATAAATGGTCTGTCTTGCAGTGCATGCCTGGACAAGACCAAACCCTTGGCTTGTGTGTTCCTTCCTGCTAAGATGTTGAGCATTGGAGTATCTCTCATGAGGAAAGGCTGAGAGAGCTGGGATGGCGAAGCCTACAAAAGAGAAAGCTTGGTGGGGATCTCATCAGTTTGTACAAATAATCTGAAGAGAGTGAAAAGAAGATGGAGCAAGGCTGTTTTCAGTGGTGTCCAGTGACAGGACAAGAGGCAATGAGCACAAACTGAAAGACTGGAGGTTCCCTCTGAACATAAGGAAATGCTTTTTCTTTTTTTAAACAGTGAGCGTGACTGCACACTGGAGCAGAGTGTCAAGAGGTTGTGGAGTCTTCATCCTTGGAGATACTCCTGGGCAACCTGCTGTAGGTGACCCTGCTTGAGCCAGGGGTTTGGACAAGATGACCTCCAGAATGCTTCCCACCTCAGCATTCTGTGAATCAGCAGAAAGGATGAATCTATGGGCAGTTCCGAAATTAATAAAGGATAACATGGCCCTGCCTTGCCTCTGGGCTCTAGGAAAGGCCTTTCCTGAACTTTACTAATGGGAGTGCAGGCACGGTAGTGATAACCCACTTTTCCACTCCATAACCAAGTGCCTCACAGAAACACACACGCTCAGCCTTCCTGCTCTCTGTGGTGCTAAACAGACTTGGAGAAAGATTAGTGCCTGGGATCAGACATGTGATACTTCTCTCTTGAATTGTCTTGTGTCGTGAGTGCTGCATGTGAAGTGTTGCTCTGGCTTTCTCCTTCCTCTATACCTCCAGCAGGTTTTGCTGGTTGTTGCATAGCAAAAACTCCACTGAGTGTAAGAAAATTGAATCTCAAACTTCTTTTTTTCCGCTTTCATTTCCAGAGGATAACATTTTCTTCACCAACAACTTAGCGACTGTCAGGAGCAGCAGCAGCAGTGAATGCCTGACCAAAGCCCTGGGGGTCAGCAGTGAAGGCTCCTTGGAAAGCAATGAGGTGGGGTTTTCAGTTTTCCTTTCTCTGCCTTCAGCTTGGCCAGTGCTGTCACCCTTCCCCAGCCTGCTATGACTCCACCTTCACAGCAGGTTGTAGTACCTGGGTGGCTGAGGAAAGGTGGTATTGCAGGACAAGAAAACTCATTTCCTGAATTTTTGAAAATAGAGTAGTTTGATCTCTGGCTAGTAGCCAACTTTCAGAGCACATTCACTCTAGAACAGGCTGTTCATGGCTAGTCAGTAATTAAGTTTTTTGTGGACTTCCAGCTAGGTGGTGGTCAAGAAGGGATGGGACTTGCTAGGGTCAGTCCTTGAGCTTGGTGAGACAGCAAGCAGTACAGTAAGATTTAGAGAAGCACAGCAGTGCTGTGCTGGCATTTCTGAAGTACAGAAAGGGGAAGAGGTTGGAGATCACTCAGTGGTTCAAGTCACAGCTCACATGGGTTGAGACATCTCGGGCTGAGGTACAGAAGGGTGATACAGCTGAACATGAGCAGAAGTCCTCTATCTGGAGGAACTTCTCACAGGTGGAATCTCAGTGCATTGTATTGGTTCAGAGAGGATTCAGTGTTGCTCTTTGCTCTGGCATGTTCCTTCCTAAGCTGGGATTGCAAAAGCCTGATGCCCTTCCAGATGTGGTACAAAGCTGCTGTTTTGGGAGTGATTTAACTCAGCCCTTCCTACTAAGGGCTTCGTTAGTCTTCATTGGTGGTGTTAGTGGACTGCTGCCTGGATCTAGAGCTTGGGACTGGCAGTCTGCTTTGGTTAGCTGTAGTGATGCTGGCATCTTGCATGATCATCCTTAACTGTTACTTTTTGTGTTTTTTTCTTTCTTTTTCAGGATTCTGACCATGCAAACAGTCCTCCTAGTCGGAAACAAGCCAAGAGCTTTAAGATCAAGAACCGCTACAGCAACAGTGATAGCCAGTGGACCCACTGCCCAGGGAAAGCTGGAGGCTCTAGTCAGCACCTCATCCTTCCCGAGCCCCCTGCCTATACAGGGCCCCAGGTAACTACGCACAGAAAGTTGTCTCTGAAGTAATGCAGACCATGTCTGTATCAAGCATGGCTGTTTTTTCTGAGGTTGTCTAAGCTGCTTTCTTGGCTTTCTCGGATAAAAGGGAAGTTGTCACTAAAACACCTTTGATTCCAAACCTCTACCCAAACTTAAATGCTTGTGTAACAGCAATTTCTTATACAAAGAATTGTTGACGTGTTGCTGTTGCTTGGAGGGATGTTGTATTAACACACCTCAGGCCTGTGGGTGTGCTACCAGATGTGGCTGTGGTGGGAGCTAGGGTAGATGTTGGTGTGTCCGTCTGCTCTGTTTGTTACAAGAGGCAATGGCTGCAGCAGACAGGCCAGTCCTGTTGTGACTACAGAGAAGGGCAGTTAATCAGGGGAGGTCATGATTGTTGCTAGAACCCAGGAAGGCATAACAGCTACATGAGGCAGATCTCTGATGAAGAGTCATGGTGATTCTTTTGTTTGTGAGGATATAAATCAGTTTGTTTTGGAATGGCTGCAGGACCTGGCAACATTCCTGGAGCAGATTGGGTGCCTGAAGTATCTGCAGGTGTTTGAGGAGCAAGATGTTGACCTCAGGATCTTCCTGACCCTCACAGAGAGCGATCTGAAGGAAATAGGCATCACGTGAGTATCTAATGTAGTTCTCATCTTTCCCCTTACAAACCACACACAGCCTTGTCAGGAAAGCGTAGCTGGTGAGTGCTTCTCTGTTCTGGCCCTGTCTCCCACGCAATCTTGATATCCCTTGGTTCTTGGCTGCAACGGATTCCTCTTGTTGGAGGTGCCTTGTAGGAACCAGGAGGTTGCAGATGTCCTCTTGGCATCCCATTGGGCCTGGGGATAGATGGTGCGGTGCTGGGTCCCTCACAGTTTGCTGTTTTCCCACCAGTCTGTTTGGACCCAAGAGGAAGATGACTTCTGCCATTGCCCGATGGCACAGCAACGCTCGGCCGCCCAGCGATGCCCTGGAGCTGGCCTATGCGGATCGGCTGGGGGGTGAGATGCAGGAGTTGGCCATTCAGCTGCACAAGGTGAGAAGTCTGTCTGGAGCTGCTCAGTGCCTTCTCACACTGCCGTAAGCGATCAGTAGCATGTTTTTGTGTTGTGTATCTAATGGCCTGGGGTAAAAGAAAAGATGGAACTTTCAGCAGACACACTAGGTGCTGAGTAGATCAGGTAGATCTGAGTAGAGTAGATCTCATTCTCTGTGCTCCATGCTTCTGGAGCCTTTACATCTGTGTTTCCTGTCTACCTGAGAACAAAAAGGGTGAGTGGGGGGAATGGAACACCTACTCTTTTTCCATAGTGTCATTTTTATGGTGAAGCTGTGCAGCTGTTAGCAAACAGACTTACATTGATTTGAGACATTTGGCCTACTGAGTATTCTTGCAAATGGGGAGGAAGGGGGAATTGCAACTGTGGGGCTCATCTTGGTGTGTGGAGAGAAACCGTATTCAGTATACAAGCCTTATTCAGCTTCGTTTCCCACTGGATTGGGTGCACTTTTGCAGGAACTCCCTGGCTGCCTAAGCTACTAAGATAGCAGGGGCTCCAGGGACATGTCAGAGCAGGCACTTATGAAGTGATGTACAGTACTCCTACCCTAATCCTCTGTCCTGCTCTGCTGTAGAGGTGTGAAGAGGTGGAGGTGATGAAGGGCCAGGTGTGCCAGGAGCAGAAGTTGCGTGCAGTGGCTGAGAGCTGTTTGATGGAGCGTGATGAGACCTGGAATTCCATCCAGTGCCAGCTCAGAGAGGCTCAGGCCATCACCAAAGATGCTGGAGTCCTGCTGGATCAGATAAAGTAAGTCATTCCCAGGAAAAGGCACTGAGGCTACTGGGAAACGGGATTTGGGCCATACAGAGGTCATATTGGCAGTCTTACAGGTGATGCTTAGGGTAAGGCAGGAAAGTTCACCAGGCATCTGAACCCGTTTTGGATCCTGCCTGACTGTAGTGGAAAGCCACAGCCATGTGAGCAGATGTGGAGCCTTAATCAGATTCACGAGCTACAAGTGGCCTGACTCTTCAGAGATGCTGAGTGCTCCTGTTTCACCTAGAAGTGAAGGTGCTCAGCAACTTCGGAACTAAAAGGCGAAGTGCTTTGTGCTTCTGTGAGACCCAGTGGCCAGGGTATAGCTTGGTGATGGGGCAAATGCAGGAAAGAGTTTCTAACTTCAAAACTGTATCGAAGGACTTGCAATATGCTGCCCTGGCTGGTGAAGAATAATTTTCTTGCAACTCTGACACTTAACAGAAAAATGTGCCATGTTCATTCACACCACTGCCTTTGAGGTCAGTCTTCCCCCCACCTCCTAATATTTCTTTGTTGCCTTTGTGGGGCTTTTTGCCCTGCTCCAGTTGCGCTCTTGTTTTATCATGGGTCCTGTCCACTGGCGGAACAGACATGCTGATGAAGGTGGCATTAATCCTACCCCTATAGTTCCTGGACCAACAGGGAATGGGATCTGTTCACTACCAAGCCAGGGTGAACTGGAGTTGGTTTCCAGAAGGGCAGCAGAGCAATGCTCCCAGCTGCAAGGGGCAGAGTCCTTGTCTCTTTCCCCCTGACTGAGGAGCTGAGGCTGTCTGGTAGAAGGTCCCTGCCGTGCTCTGAGGATACACTGTTTGAATTGATGGGATGATGATGATAGCCAGAGAACTTTGTGTGTCTCTCTTGCTTCAACCGGATGCCTGTCCTGAGGCAACTTTATTTGCCCCTTAGAAAGCTTGGATCAAGCTTGATTCTCATAGAAACCAAGTGCAGCCCCTGGCTTGAGCTCTCTCCTGCTCACCCCGCCCCCTCCTTCTCTTCTCCCCCCGCAGCTCCTCTGTGGACAGGGGCAGATTGCTGTGGAGATGGGGCACAGTGGAGAGCGCCCCGAGCTTTGTCTGGGGCACGTCTTCCTCTTCCTGGGAAGGAACAAGGAGCAGTTTGTAACCCAGGGCGTTAGATGCGGCCCCTCGGCACCCCAAGCAGGTACTCGCAGGATGTAGGAGTGCAAAGACTGGCATGTTGTTCCAAGAAGTGCCCTTGTGCCCTCCTGATGGACTTTGTCTTGTTTGGCAGATCCTGTCAAGCAGAGCTGTCGTCCCGGCTAACCCAGGAGCGGGGGATTGGCAGAGTGCTGGACACAAAGGCGCAGCTGGGAGCTGGTGAGAGCAGGCGGCCTGGTGAGCGTCCGGGTGAGGAAGAGCTTATCAAAGTACACAGATGGGTGCAGGGGGTGGGTGAGCAGCAGGAGACCCCCGAGCAAGCCACGGGCTTGATTGCATTGCTGAAATAATGAAGTTAGAAGTGATTTGGAAACAGAGCAGCCAAACCCTTAAGTTTAATGTAAAAATTCTTGCTCAGGGAAAGCAAAGCATCCAGGGCATCTGGGCTTTAACTGCAGCAGCTTCTCAGCAGCTTTTCATCCTTAGCAAGTGGGAAGTTTTGGGGTCTGGCAGGTGTTTGTGGCTAAAAAAGCAAAGCTGTAGCGCAGGGGCCCC